TTAAGGTATGCTTTGGTCCCCAAGTCGCTGCTTTGGGGGGACACCTTCACGGCCAAGGAAATGAATCCTCAAGCTATGGTTTAGGGTTTAGGTTTAGGGTTTAGGGTTTAGGGTTTAGGGTTTAGGGTAGTCCACAAAAGGTTAAAGTCCCTAAACCCTAAACCCTGAAAGGTTACTCGCTCTACCACAAAGGATCTCATGGGCATCCGCTCCTTCCACGACCAAGGCAACCTTCGCACGGAGCTTCTTGGCAATCAGGTCCTGTTCAATCTTCAGGTTTAGGGCCCAGGTTTTCGGGCTGTTACGGCTTGGGGTTTAGGGTACGGCTTCATCGGATTTATAAGATGCTCGGATTCAGGAGCTACGAAGCCTTTAACGCAGGGTTTGTTAAAACTAACCAGGGTTATAGGGCTTACATGATCTCCTGATGCACGGCACCCACGGCGAGGAGCGAGCTGACCGGAACCTAAAAGGCTGAGTACCCTAGCCCAAAAAAAAAGTTTAGGGTTTAGGGTTTAGGTAGGAGTCCATAAACCCCAAAAGGTAACCCTAAACCCTAAACCTACTCAGCCACTAAGGAACGCGACTTTGACTGGCGCGGCGGTGCGACAGGACCAGGATGGCGGCGCCATCGCCCAGAATCGCCGCCTCGGCCTCCTTGCAGATCTGCTCCAGGCGCTCCTTCATTTAGGGTTTAGGGTTTAGGGTTTAGGGTTTAGGGTTTAGGGTTTAGGGTTTAGGGTTTAGGGTTTAGGGCTTAGGGTTTAGGGTTTAAGGGACAATAGGAAAGAGACCCCTAATCCAAATACTCTGTATAACCCTTATAGACCCCGTACATAGTCTCATAAAGCCCCGCTATAACCCCAAGGGTCCCTTTCAGTCATTGTAGCCACAAGGGGCCGCGGAGACAATTCCAAAAACTAACTGTCGGGGCCCAAAAGACCGCCTAAACGTCCGGATCCTAGTTTTGGAGTAGAAGCGTGGCTATAAAGAGGAATCCAGAAGCCCTTAATTATGAGATCCCCATGTTTGAATGGTCTTTTAGGCCCCTAGAATCCCTAGATCTGCTTTAAACATATAAGTGTATGTTAGATGTATACATAGATACATATGTATGTATGTGTATATATATGTACAGACGGATCTTGCATAATAAGGAACTGTCAACGGCCTCTTTTAGAGGGCACTCCTTCAGCAGGTTGTTTCCGCGTGTTGCGCGGTCCGCCTGCCGGGCTCGCGACTTGGTCTCGCTAAGGCCATAGGTCATGTCCAGCACGACGGTGGGCATACCTGGGTTCCGGCTTAGTTGTTTTTGCCTCCCGCCTGGCTAGGACGAACCTACGATGCAGGGTCGATAC